CATCTCAGAGAGAGCTGTCAAGGCAGAATCACAAATGAAGGTAGTAAATAAAATCTCATTTTCAGTGACAGATTTTGAGTCCATAAATTATGCTTATCAACTCTTGCACCGATAAATTAACGATGATGATGATGGAAAATGTTGGCTGCAGGACAAACTGAAGCTGAGGCTTAAGACACTTGAAGAAGGCTTGAAACATGTGCCTAATTGCGCTATCAATGCTAATGGGGCCCCCACGAATGGAAAATCGAGCCACTTCTTTGGGATCCTGTCAAGTAACACGAGAACAAAGAAGAGATCCACATCACAACCCAGGGCATCCACCCTCTCCCGAAGCCTGATGCAGATGACGGCTGATGAAAAACAAGATTCAAGCGAAATTCTTATCAATGGTTTGAGAAAGAAAAATACTACTGGAGAAAGTTTGTTGAGGAAGAGCTTGTGGGCTTCCCGTAATAAGGTGATCGACAGCAGTGAGAAGGAAAATGCAGCGATGAACAAAAATGCAGTAGTCGAAAGTGAAATGCGCAAGGGTGAGGAAGTCAGACAATTTGCTGACATTAAAGAAAGTAATAAAGGTTTAGAGATGGCTGATGTAGAGTGTGAAGATACGGTGTCGGGTTTCTTATACGACAGGCTTCAGAAGGAAGTATTAAACTTGAGGAAGGCCTGTGAGTTGAAAGAAAGCACTTTGAACTCTAAAGATGAAGAAATTAAGGTAGATATGTTCGTGTCTTGTATGTGTGTGTGTGTGTGTGTGTGTTTTGAGGAGAATGTTGTGTGTCAAACAGGTTACAAAATTTGTTGTTGTTCTTGTTGCAGTTGCTCATGAAAAAGATTGAAACACTGACAAGGGCCATAGAAGTTGAGTCCAAGAAAATGAAGCGAGAAGCAGCAATAAGGGAGAAAGATTCATCTTTAATAAAGTCAGATGAGAAGATTCGAAGCACAAACTCTTCCAAAAGGTTAGCACCAATTATAAAGCAGGGGTAATTATTATTCCCAGTGACTTCTACCGACAAATGAAGTACTTGGACAACCTAAAAAATGCTAGCCAACCTTTAACTTTTATTTACAAACATTTCCAACGTCGTCTCATCCTCAACTAGTTTTCTATTCTATTGCATAAAGTACATTTACTCTAAAAAAGAAAAGTTTTTGCTGAGACTATATATATATATATATATATATTCTATCTTCTTGTATCCTGTTATCTCACCTTGCAGATGCAAAATATATCTGGTGACCCATATTATTTAATTTTCCATCGATTTTTAGGTGCATAAATGCCTGTTAATGATACCGAACAAGAACGAGGAGGAGATGACCTGCATGTCATCACTAGCACACATTCGAACATCCCTTGCCTTCTGTTATGTGAATATGAAGCTGTTTGGAATGATTTCAGATGCCATAATTAATGTTTGAAGTTGTGGAGTGCTTTGTTTAGTAGGTTCATTAGCCGCAGTGTGATTTTTTCATTTCTTTCTTTTTCTTTTTAAAGAAAAAACAGACTGTCTGGTCTGATCCACTTGTATGCCTGAGAACACAAAATGTTGAGAAAATATTATTCAATAAATTATTTGTTTTGCATAAATACATGTTTTGCAATCCATTTGGTTCTGTTACAAGAAGCACAATCACCATATTACACAGTACTACATTTGCTAAACCTCTCAATTTTCCTTCTGTCAAAAGGAAAATTTGGGTTCCGATTCTGCAGACAAGAAGAAAGAAAGTAACAGAAAGTGAAACTGAACTCTCATGAAAAAAAAAAAATCAACAGGGTTCGTCTCTTTTCAAGTCCCTTGTCCTCATACGTTGGTCGAAATTTCAAGTCAGTGCCAGAAATTGTGACCCCTTTTTTTTTCACAGTTCAGGAATCGGTTCTAAGGATGGCTGCCATCTCTTAGTACCCGACTTTCGACCCGAATGAAGTACAGCACGTCTCTGTTTTAGCTCCTCTGCTTTTCTCATCAGCAGCTGCAACTGCTTTTTAGTCACCACTATCTTCACTTTGTGGCCACTGCAAGTGTTGGCAAAGTACCACGACCCTTGAAGCTTTTGCTGCCGTATCAGTTCACTAACAAGACGATCAATCTTGTCGTCGACCGATGATGGGGCTTTCGGCTCTTTATCAACTTCATCACGGCTAACTTTCGCGTCATTTTGCGATACCATGAATTTTGCTCCAACGCAGTTACCCATTTTGAATCTGTGTACCAGTTGGGAAAATACTAAGCACATTGCCGAAGAGAAGAAAATGCTGAGCACGTTATATATACTGCTGCTCGTATCATGCCTTGATAAACGTGCAGGCCACTTTGCAATCACTTGGCTCTTAGTAAGAAAGAATTTTCAACTAGTAGTGCAATTAGTCAACTCATGAAACTTTATCAATTTTTAGTATATATTTTTTTTTTTCTTAAGGTCAGCAACTGCACGTCGTTAGCGGGGTTATTCACGTTTTTTGGCTCTATAATTATCATTTTAGCCTTGGGCAAAATCAGGGTACTCTTCATGAATACATATTAGTGAGTTGTAACACTCCGTTTTGAGAATAAGAAGAATAAGAGCATTTGCATTTCATTTCTTAGCTCGACCTTGTGTATAAATCGTATAATCCAACAATCGAATTAAATAGATGTCATCGTCTATTTAATTTGTTAATAAAAAAACCCATACCACAAACACGGCCTGGGGCAGGGCCAACAGGGCGACAACTCAAGGCCTAAAAATTCTGAGGGCACAAATTGTTAGAAATCTTTAAAGGAAAAAAAAAAACATTTTAATATAATTAGTTTTTTTTTTTTGGGTACAAAGCAAGCTATTGATCATAAACTACGAGAGGCAAACGTTCCGTGGGTAAGAGACACCCCTTATGTCGTGCTCAATCCATGGAACTACACCCGGAGGCAGAGTAGGGAGTGGATGGCACCCAAGAGCTGCCGAAGCCGCCAAGGCTGCTAAATAGTCTGCAGCAAAATTGACCTCACAAAAAATGTGGGAAATCCGCACCTGTCAGTCTCGACTGAGGAGCTCACGTATCCCCAAGACTAAACCATAATGGACCCCTACTATGTCGTCAGTATTCTTGGCAAATCCCACAACGCTTGAATTATCGACCTCAGCCTCTATCTGGTGATACCCCAAGTGCCAAGCCAAAGTAAGGCCCTAAAATAAGTCTCATAACTCTGCTCCCATAATAGAGCATTCCCCAATTTTCATCACAAAACCACCAAGCCATATGCCATTGGAGTCCCGAAGTAGCCCACCCGCAGAGGCATACCTGAGGAACCATTACGGGCACCATCTGAATTGACTTTTATCCACGAGTCCGGCGGCGGTTCCCAACAGATAAGGCGTTGGATATGCCATTGTTAGTTTGTTCCCTTATTTTTCGCATAGCAAAATTGTAGATATCCAACATGCCTAATTAAGCGACACGTGGCATCAAATCAATTAATAACGGATGATAAGACACAAGTAAACCTGATAAGATTAATCGGACTTTTCATCCATCTAGTCAGATGGCTCGGACACTGACAGGATCCAGACCAAGGCCTTCGACTACCTTATTTGGAGGTCAGACTACGAAACATTGCAGTGTGAAGATCATGGATTAGCTGAATGAAGTACTCAGATACGAATCATAGGTCCGATCGGATTCCAACATAGATTGGACTCTGACAAAACATTAAATGTTGAAAAGCCATTTTTAGTTATCCTATGGAAAAGTGACTGTTGGGGCACATTCGACGGTGATGCACATTACCATTAAATCACATTAAATAATACCACGTAGAATAGGCTATGATATCATGTGGGAATGTAAGGAAGTATATGTATCTTGTATCAACACAGGGATATGTACATGTATACAATGACATAAGATGGGCTTCCCTAATGTTGGACCTTTAAACTTAACCCTACAATACACAATACAACAAATATAACTAACAATTCCCTCATTTAATCAGGTGTTGAATCAAATTTCTATATTTTCAATTGTTATTAAAAAATCTTCCAACAACTGAAGTTATGAGCCTTAATCCATTAGTCCATTGTGGCCCTTCATTCTCTAGCATTGGGCCGCCCAACAATAGCTCACCTGAATTTTCCTTCAATGCTTCGCATCTACAAACATACTCTCAAATAGTGAAAAATAACACATAAAACATCAGATAAAATACATTCATTCAAATAATACATAAGTCGAAAATATAAACGTACGGAAAAAGTGTATAAAAGCACACCAAATTATGGCATAATTTGAGATGTATAAAATTATAATTAGTTGGAGAAAAGAGAGATAAATTGAATATATAATATAATATATAATACAAGTTGTTCAGAAAAACTTCTAATTTAGAAAGACTTCTAGACGTTTTTTATGTCACATAGAATGGTTCGTGCGTGTCACGTGGCAACAAAATAAAGCAATTCAAAGAACATTAGATATGCTCGAATTATTTTATTTGACACAAAATCGTGGTACAACTTGATATTAGCAACCAAATTACGCCAGCCAACATGTATGTGCGTGCGTGTATATTATACACATCTATATGAAGTAACTTTATTTATCTTTACACTTACCGTTGAACATAAATATAATTAAATTTCGATTTGAATATATGACCCAACAATATGCATTCACATGATGGAGCAGCCACGTGGATTCTCATCACTGAAGTAGTAATCGCATGATTTGCTGATGTGGCATCCCCTACCATACCCATACCCATACCCAT